TCACGGCAACGCGCCTTCTAACCATTTCTCACTTGCCCCGTCCTCCAGCGCCGGAAGCGCCAATCGGGATTCTTGCTGCGACGACACACTCACGCGGACAAATATGGCTTCGAACCCCCCTTCCGACCGACAGCCAGACTTGGCCCTAGTGGTACGTTGCCAGGCCTCCCTTTCAGCTGCTGGCACCGGAGTTGCTGACGCGGTCTCTAGTCGGAGGACGATTTCCCCTACGAGCAAGACATCCAACGGAACCCGGGAAACACCAAACCGTGGCTCGCCTACATCGAATACAAGCTCCAGCATGGGACGATACGGGAGCAGGCATTTGTCATGGAGCGGGCATGCGTCCAGCTGCCGCGGTCGTACAAGTTGTGGAAGATGGTAGGCTCCAATCCCGCCAGCCCGCGCGGGTTATTGCTAACCCAAGTCTCGACAGTATCTCCGGTTTAGGATGAAGCACATCGCCAAGCTCAACGCCGCCATTTTCGCCGCCGAATACCAAAAAGTCAACGCGCTGTTCGAACGAGCGCTAATCCTTCTTAACAAAATGCCCAGGATATGGGAGATGTACCTCAAGTTCCTGATGCAGCAGCCCCTCGTGACCCTCACCCGACACGCCTTCGACCGGGCGCTCCGGGCCCTCCCAATCACCCAACACAACAGGATATGGGCGCTATACCGGCCGTTCGCGAATTCGGCCGAGGGAATGACGGCCGTCAAGATCTGGCGCCGGTACATGCAGGTCCACCCCGAGGACGCCGAGGACTTCATCGAGCTGTTGGTCCAAACCGGGCTTTATACCGAGGCCGTCAACAAGTACACCGACATCCTCGACAACCCACGGTTCCAGAGCAAAAACGCAAAGGGGCACTATGAGCTATGGAGCGAGATGGTCGATCTGCTGGTTGAGCATGCGGTCGACATAGACACGGGCCACGAGGCAGACATCGACGTGGAAGGGATCATCCGGAGCGGGATCGAACGGTTTGGCGACCAGCGAGGGAAGTTGTGGTGCGGTTTGGCGACCTACTGGATCCGGCGAGGCGATTTCGAAAAGGCAAGGGATGTGTTTGAAGAGGGAATCACCACGGTCATGACGGTGCGGGACTTCACGCTCGTGTTCGATTCGTACACCGAGTTCGAGGAATCCATCATCGGGGCGCTGATGGAGGTTGCCTCCACACGAGCCGAAAAGGGCGTGGTGGACGAGGGGGCCGACTTCGACCTCGACATCCGCATGATGCGTTTCGAGCACCTGATGGACCGCCGGCCTTTCCTCCTGAACGACGTGCTGCTCCGACAAAATCCCAATAATGTCACCGAGTGGGAGAAACGGGTCGCGCTATGGGGCGAGAACAAGCAAGAAGTGGTGCAGACGTACACCGACGCCATTGCCGCCATCCAGCCCAAGAAGGCGGTCGGTGCATTCCACCAGCTATGGGCCAATTACGCCAAGTTCTACGAGAAAGGAGGGGACTTGCGGAATGCCCGGGTCATTATGGAGAAGGCGGTCAAGGTTCCGTTCAAGTCGGTGGCGGAGCTCGCCGACATGTGGATCGAATGGGCCGAGATGGAGCTGCGGAACGAGAACTTCGACGAGGCTGTCAGGATCATGGCCAAGGCGACTCAGGCGCCCAAGAGGTCGACGGTAGACTACTTTGACGAGACGCTGTCGCCACAACAACGTGTGCACAAGAGCTGGAAGTTATGGAGTTTCTACGTTGACCTTGTGGAGAGCGTAAGCTCTCTCGAAGAGACCAAGAAGGTCTACGAGAGGATATTTGAGCTCCGGATTGCGACGCCTCAAACCGTCGTAAATTACGCCAACCTTCTCGAGGAGCACAAGTATTTTGAGGAGTCGTTCAAGATCTACGAGCGCGGTCTCGATCTCTTCAGCTACCCTGTTGCCTTCGAGCTGTGGAACCTCTACCTCACCAAGGCGGTGGATCGCAAGATCGGCATCGAGCGGCTACGAGATCTGTTTGAGCAGGCGGTCCTTGACTGCCCGCCCAAATTCGCCAAGGTCATCTACCTCATGTACGGCAACCTCGAGGAGGAGCGCGGGCTGGCGCGGCACGCCATGCGCATCTATGAGCGCGCTACGCGGGCGGTATCGGACGACGACCGGGCCGACATGTTCAACTTCTACATCACCAAGTCGGCCTCCAACTTTGGGCTGCCGTCAACCCGCCCCATCTACGAGCGGGCCATCGCAACGCTACCAGACAACGAGGCGCGCGACATGTGCCTGAAGTTCGCCGACATGGAGAAGCGGCTCGGCGAGATCGACCGCGCCAGGGCCATCTACGGGCACGCGTCGCAGTTCTGCGACCCCCGGACAAACCCAGACTTCTGGACCAAGTGGGAGCAGTTCGAGGTGCAGCACGGCAACGAGGACACGTTCAAGGAGATGCTGCGCATCAAGCGCAGCGTCCAGGCGCAGTACAACACGGACGTCAACTTCATCGCCTCGCAGGCGCTCGCCAAGAGCCAGCAGCAGAGGCAGCAGGAGGGCGGCGAGGAGGTCGACGAGGAGGTGGCGGACGCCATGGAGCAGCTCGAGAGGCAGGCCCGCGCGCCGGCCGGGTTCGTGGCGGCGTCCGAGGGGCTCAAGGGGAATGTGGCCAGCCAGCCGGCCGAGGTGTCAAACCCCGATGCCATCGACCTTGACGATATGGACGAATGACATGATTTCTCAGCTTAGACGGGGCGGGGGTCGTGTATGCTTTTCTCGGTAGGGGGCCACGCAAGAGGATGTATTCCGTGGGGTTGGTTGGGGGGGATATGGCGCGGGTAAAATAGGTGGATTATCCCAGTAACTCATCAGTTTCCAGGTTGAAGCAAGCGGATCGAAACGGCCGAACGCACGAATAAACTCCTTCCTCCCTGTCAGGTGTGAAGTACCTATTATTTGCTGTTTCAACTCTCCGTGCCACCAGATGAGTCCGCCAGTCAAACATAGATAGGCAGGCAGGTATTTACCTGCCGCCCAGGAGGTACACAACAATTTCCCCATCCCCCAAGCCAAACCAAAACCAAAACCAGAACAAAAAACGGCCCCTGCCATGCCATAACCCAGCATCCACACCCCACCTGCCAATGACCCCCTCACCAAGCCATCAACAACCTCAACCCAATCAACCCACCCACAATACCCCCCAACCCTCTGCCTCCCTCTTCAAAAACGATAAATGGTCAATAACATCTCCTCTCACTGCTTCTTGTCCTTGTCGTACCCCATCTCGGCCAGCTTCTCAAAGTACTTGGCCTGGTAGTTGCTGTCGATCTTGCCGTCGCGCGAGTGGGGGACGGCGTAGATGGAGCCCTTGCGCTTCTGGAAGCGCGAGGGCGGGACCTTGGAGGCGTCTTTTTTTGGGGAGGGGGGGGTTGTGTTAGTTATGGGGTTTGGATGGGGCTCTGGTGGTTTTGGGGTTTGTTGGGTGTGTTTTTGGGGGGGAGATGGAGAGGTAGGAGAGGGGGGAGTTGGTGGGATGATATGGGTGGGTTGTGGGATGGGATAGGGGGTGTTCTGGTACGGGTTTGGGAGGAGACAGAGAGAGACGGCAGGGAGGGGGGCATGACAAGATGGAGAGAGATGGGGATAACGCACCCCATTCGTCGCTGCTTCGCCGGTCTGGATTTACGGGCGACTCTACTGGGGAGGTTGGGCTGATCGGCGCAATGTCTTTGTCTGTCCCTGTCTTTGGGAACTGTTGAGTAGTTGGGCTGCCGGAGTTGGTGCTGGTGATGCTTTGTTTGCGAGCGTCTGGGTTGGGTTAGGGGTCGTCAGTAAGCTGAGGGTAGCCGTATTGAGACGGGGATTGGGTGTAGTTGAGCGGATGGGTTGTAAATAGGATAGGGGGAAAGGGAGGAAGCTATACCTGCCATAGCGGATAGTTTTGGTCTTGATAAACGTTATATAGAGAGTACTGGTTTGGTAAAATGGCGATGCTTCATATGTAGTCGTTACTGCAAAAGAGGAGAAGAGGTCAGACGAGGGGGAGAGGGCCAGGTCCGAAAGACGTCAGGAGGCGTCTGAGCACAGTCGTCTCAACACGAGACGCTCGCCCCCAATATACTTGTTGTAGGTATCCCTCCAGATCGGGAGGGGTAGGCTACAGCAAAGGGCCTGGGCGCTTAGCTCTATTGCCCCCTTGCTGTTTTCTTTGTTGAACTCGAGTCAGGTGCCCTTAGATGCTCCGTGTTGTTGGCCTCGGGCCCATCCAGTCTGAAAGCACATACAACGCCTTTGTCGCCCATCTGTTCCAGGTTTATAACCTGCTACGGAATGGTAACCTTCCAAGTAATAGCCATCTACCACGATGATATTGTCTGCCCTCTTGACGTGATATTCCACCAAATCCTCTCCAATACTCGCAATATCCCAACACCCTACGCCCACCATAACAGCCAAGTACGGGCCATGATGCTAAATTCCAGAAGGTATTTTCTGTGCAGCGGCAGTGGCAGTGCACCAATGATGCATCACGAGGGTTCCCTGAAGCAACGAATCAATACAGTTGACGTCATTCTCAAAGGTCCGGAGCTAGCTCCCGGCAAGATGTTCCAGACCTGACAAACCTGAGTCAAACCGGAGATCGTCCAGTTTGAACACAGCAGAGTAGGAGGCCTCGATCACGGAACACTCCGTTGCTCTCCTTGATCGAAGATCAGTCCCTAGATAACCGCTCCTACCCGCTGAGCTGCAGGAAAGCTAGCTTTGAAGGGATTGGCACATGTACCGTCAAGCTAAACGGAGAAAGGAAATGAGACGACGCCGAAATGCACAGCCTCGAAACCAACATCTAGTACCTCGGGATGCACACAGTAAGAATAAAAGACAAACAGAACATGAAAGCGGGGTGGGGCACACCGCTATCTTCGGTGAGGAGTTGACCAATCTGTAAAGCTTTCGCAAATAAAACAAGAAAAAGAACAGTCCTGGCTTTCGTCTGTGATGTTGAGACCAAAAATAAAACGGCCGGGGTGAGCAAAAGTTGAGGTCGTGCCCGGGTTCGAACCGGGGTTATTGGAAATGGGAGACACGTAGTCAAAATCCAAAGTGATAACCACTACACTACACAACCTTGTCATGTGCCTAGTGCCCGTTTTAGAATTTAGGGTTTATGTAGTGTGAGAGCGTTCATAGGGTTAGGGTTATCCAAACAACCTCGTCGTCTCCTTTATCATCACCACCGGGCGTTGGGGCAGAAAGAAAAAAAAGAAAGCAGAAAACTGAGAGCACAGTAAAAAGCTCGGTTTCATCTACATAGTCTAATCCGCCGTAGCATCTGCCGCTATAAAGGTTCCTTGAATCTAGTCACCAAATCGACCCCAACTACCCCCTATCATGTCTGTTTACGATGCAGAGTGCCAGCACCAGCCTAGCCACACAGTCAGCATGGCGTAAATAAGGGGTCATTGTGGAAACTTACTTGATGGCTGGGGAAGATTAGTGTGTCGGCAATGACTACGTTCTGCCGCCTGCCTGCGACGAAAACCACCACCTCGGCAATGTCCTCCGGCGTCAGGGGATCGCAACCACTGCAGCAGCGTCAGGTGCCGGTTCTCGCAGCATAAGAGACAAGTTGGTAGACTTGGTTGGTAGACTTACGCATAAACGGCGTCAGCCTTGGACTTGTCGCCGTAAAACCGAACTACCGAGAACTCCTGTCCATGGAGCATTAACATCAACCGTCAACCGGCAGTGTCGCGTATGATTTAGTAACCCACCGTCTCGACCTGCCCGGGGTCAACTTCCATCACCCGGATCCGGGTATCGATCAGCTCCTTTCGTAGCGAGTCGGAAAAGGCGCGCACGGCAGCCTTGGTGGCGCAGTAAATGCTACCGCCGGGGTACGGCTCCCGGCCGGCGATGCTGCCAATGTTGATGATGTCGCCGGCACCGCCTTCGGGGCGGGCCTTGAAGATTGGCAGGATGGCCTGGGTCATGTTGATCAGACCGGTAACGTTGGTCTGGAACATGACGTTGATGTCGTCCTCGGCGATCTCAGGGGCACGGGCGACTGCGTCTATCCGTCAGCACTTACACTCACCCGGTACCACCGGTTTCAGTATCTCATACCTCCTTTCACCAGTCCGCTACAACCCACCCCAAAAGCTCAAGTCAGCACTCACCCACCCCTTTCCATAAAACAAAAAAAAAAACCCAAAAAAAACTCACGCATTATTAACCAACACATCCACCCCCCTAAACTCCTCCGGCAACCCCTCCACAAACCCACGCACCTGCGCAGGGTCAGACACATCCAGCTCGACGGGCAGCACTTTCACGCCCTCGCCGACCTCGGCGCGGATGGCGTCGGCGACCTCGCGCAGGCGGTCGGCGCGGCGGGCCGTCAGCACCAGGCGCAGGTCGCGCGGGGCGGTGCGCGCAAACTCGAAGGCGCAGCTCCGCCCGATGCCGGAGGAGGCGCCCGTGATGAGGATGGTCTTGCCCTCGAGGCGCTTGGCCATGGCGGTGGTGGACATGGTTTTGGTTGATGGGTTTGTTGTTGTTGTTGTGGGTGGTGGTGTGAAGAAGGGTGGGGGTGGGAAGGAGGAGAGGGTGGTTGGGAGGCGGCGGGGGTGTGGTTGCGATCCGGGTCTGGGTCGGGAGGTGGAGAGGCGGGTGAAGGTTGTTATGCTTCGTTTGGGGAGTGTTAGTGTTGCTGTTGTCCTTGTTGTTGCTCGTGAGAACATGGCAGAAGGGTGATTTGAGGTCCCGGGGTGGAAGCCGAGGTGTAATAAGGGATGAGATGCACAGTGACCCCCGCGGAATCGGCGCTGACGCCATCTTGTGGGAGGTCCACCCACCTAAAGCGCTCGGGTGAATGCCGTTGCCGGGCCGGCTCCGGAAAACACCCCGCACCGGCTCCATTTGCCCCGGCGTTAAGCATCTACCCCGCACTGATAGTCCCGCCTTACCCGGGACTCGGGACTAACATCGCCAGGGGAGGCGCTAAGCTGAGTAAACGTGGGAAAGGGCAAGTTGAGGTTACGGATTGTGGGATACGGGATGGAGATGGGAATGTTTGTAGATTACTCAACTGGTTGCTTACACATTGATGTGTATCTCCCTAGATTACCCCTGAATTACCCCTTATCAACGAACCGCCCTATAAACGCCGACAACAAAAGTCTAGACGGCTCATCTGGCCATGCTGTTTAGGTATATCCAACGCCGTTGCCGTTACTCAGGTGATGGCAAGTATCATGCCATAGTACATACCCAAAATCCTTCCAAAATCCTTCCAATGCCCAAAGGTCGCCTACACTGCTGCGTCACGGGAGTCATCCGACTGCCCACTCCCACCCTTTGCTGCCCGTCTCCTCTCAGCCTCCTCGCGGTACCGCTGCTTCATCATCTCGGGCATCGACACCCTGTTCCGCCGGTACACCCCCAGCGTGACCACCATCGCGGCAGCCAGCACGGCACAACACACTATCATGTCCTCCCTCAGCGCATCTGTGTACACCCGCCTGATGGACCCCCACTGCTCCGGTGACAACGCCGACGGGTCTGACGCCAGATGTGCCAGCACCTCGGGCGGTAGCTCCCCGCCGGCCAGCTCGCCCCTGGTCTTGGCCCCCAAGATGGCCGACGACGCCGCGATCCCGATGCTCCCGCCAAAGATGCGGACCTGCGCCACGATGCCCTGTGCCGATGCTAAAGACCAGAGCATTTGCTGTTAGCTCTCGCCCTACACCAAGAGGGAAAAAAGAAAAAAGAAAGGGAAAAGAAAAGAGAAAAGAAATAACCCACCATGTTCCCAAACCGGCGCCTCCGCCCCCGCCAACATGGTCCCCCCAGCGGCGGACATGCCAAACCCCAACCCCACAAACACCAAAAACCCCAACACCTTCGCCTCCACCGCACCCACAGGCTCAGCCGTCACCTGCAGCCCACACCCAAGCATCATCAGCCCACACGCAACCATCAGCGTCTCAAAGAACCTCTCCTTCCTCCGGGGCCCCCCGTTCAGCGCGCCGGCGACGACGGTCCCCGCCGCCGACGCCGCCAGCATGGGCAGCAACAACAGACCCGCGCGCAGCGGGGAGGCGCCGTAGACGGCCTGGAAGCGCACGGGGAAGGCGTAGACGCAGAGCAGGTAGGGGAAGCCCGTGAGGAGGGTGTGCAGGGCGGCGGCGGCGTAGGCGCGGTTGCGGAGGAGGACGGGCGGGAGCGCGAATGCCGTCTGGTTTGGGGAGTTGGGGTGGTTTGTTTTTTTGGCTTGGTGGGCGGTGAGCAGGGCTTGCCAGGCGAAGAGGGCGAAGAGGGAGAGCAGGCCTGTGAGGAGCGGCGCGAGGAAGATGGCTGAGGTCCAGCTGGGTGAGGCGGATGCGTTTTGGAAGGGGAAGACTATTAGGGTGGCGGATGCGATTCTGGTGGGGTGGTGGTTAGGTGGGTTAATAGGTGTGGGATGGGTTGAGGGGGTGGCTTACAATAGAAAGGCGCCGACGAAATCGACGTCTTTCCAGGCACGCCGTTCTAGAGAGGGGAGGTGTTCCTTCTTTGGCCAGGCGAGGAGGAAAACCAGGAGGGAAACGCCGCCGATGGGGCCGCTGTACTAGTGTTAGCAATACCCTTATGGGGGTACCCACGTAAAGATAGGAAGACATACTTGATCCAAAACACCCATCGCCAGCTCGTGTACTGGGTCAGGACGCCACCCAGAACCGGGCCCAACACCCCCGACGTCGCCAACACACACCCCACCACCGCCGCGATGTGCTTCTTTGCCGGGTCCGGGGTCACCTCGGGCAGGATGATCATCGACACACTGTATAGCCCTACACCGCCGAGTTAGCCCCCTTCCCCCTTTTATCCCCCTTTCATCCCGCCACCTCATCAAGAGCGAAGAGAGCAAGAAAAAAAAAGCCCAAAACACTCACCACTCCCCCCACCCCCTGCAGCGCCCGAAAAGCAATGAGCTGGCCCATCTCCCTGGCAAAGCCGCACGCAATCGAAAAGACGATAAAAACAACATAAGCCGCAGCAAACGCGGCGCGGCGGCCGACAACGTCGGAAACGCGGGCGAAGAGCACGGCGCAGCTGAGGTAGGTCAGCGTGTAGGCCAGGGCGACCCAGTTGATGGCGCCGACGTCGCCGAACTCGGCCGCGATGGTGAAGAGCGAGGTGGCTACGATGGACGAGTCCAGCATCGAGAGGAAGAGTCCCAGAGCGACGCTGTGGGGGTGGGATGGTTAGTTGGGCTGGTTTGCTGGTGAAGTGTGAAGTGTTTGTTGGGGGTTGTTGGGGGGTGTTGTTGGGGGGGGGGGGGAGGGGTTACCCTGTTGATAGGGCGATGAAACGGAGTTTGGGGATGGATTGCGGTCCGAGGTGTTTTTCATCGGTGGTGCTGTCTGTTAGGGCGCCGGCTTCAGCTTCTTGGGGTTGAATCGCGGGTGTTTGTGTCGGTTCAGGGGGTTGTTCTTCGTCGTTGAGCTTGTCCACCGCTTTAAGGGGCGGGCCCCGTGATGACAGGTCCTCTCCCATGCTGGTTAATGCCACAGCGGCGACGAGATCGAAGCCCGGCGGGTATTAGAGTAGTGGTGAGTACGTGTGAAGTAATCCGGGCCGAGGCGATTATTGTTGTCAGTTCTACACCCCGTTTCGGGGGGATGGTGACGGCTGGTTATAAGAGTCCTCCTCACGATCCCCATTGAACCTCGAAGCACCCACAACTACGGTCGAGTCATCAGCAGAACCATAGGATTCGATACACTTCTTGGATGGCCCGAGTGGAGAGAATTGACTCGCATTCGGATGTAGGAAACGAAAATGCGGAAGGGTGGGTGATCAGTGATCTTCCGAACCGCTGTGTTGGCTACCCCTGGCCAACGAAAGCGGACATCGACATGCAATCATAAAGCAGGAAAGCGAGTCCGGCGAGGAAATCCCCATCCATGACCCATCCTCAAGACCATAAGCGATTGTCTTTTCCCATAAACAGGGTCATGCAGGCGAGACGGCCCCCATACCACCTCCCCATTCGGGGCTGTTGTTGGGTCGTCATGATGCTTGTTGGATGCAAGTCAGACTCCACGGGGGCAAGTGATAGGCATTCGCACTCGCACTCGCTAA